TCTGTTCTACCCAAAGGAATTGAGATTCTTTAACTAGACTTCCTGACTTAGTAGCCTGCATGAAAGATTGAAGCTTGCTGCTCACCAGTTTAATTAGAATTGAAGCCAAGTATATCAATGGTTCAGAGGCTTCCTCATGTACTCTGTACATGCAGCTTCTTTCCAGATACAATTCAAATGTCTCTTCCTCCATGCAGCCATCCCTGATTTCTCTCCCTTTGAAATCTCTCCTTTAAGCTAGAGGTAATATTTCTCTGAACCTCTGAAACTTCATCTATACCTACTGTTTCCTATCTGATATTAGAATTTGTTGTGTGTATCCCATCATAGTTCTACCAGTTTTCAAATACTACACAGGCAGGCTCAGTGCCAAGTTCTCCTTTGTATCTCATCTGCAATGCCCTGCATATAGTAGATGCAAAGTAGATGATTGTCAGTAAATGGGTTTATCTGCCAGAGCATCAACAAGGGCAGCTCTGTCAGTTTGGGTGTCTTCAGCTGTAAGAGAAAATTTGACTAATGGTGCCTGAACTAGTAAGAGCGTGGAATTTCATTCTAACGCAGAAAGTCTGGAGGTCAGTAGGCCCAAGGCTGGTCTATCCACTCAGCAGTGTCAGGCTCTGAGTCACCATTTTCATGCTCCTTTTAGGCCTTGCTTCCTAGTCACAAAATAGCGACCACAGCTCTAAGCACTGTTCTCCCCTTTTATTATGTCTCATTGGCCAGAACGGGTCACATGACTGATCTCCCGTGAAGGAGAAGGCAGTTGCCACCAGTCTAACCTAGTCGGGGCCCAGTGCTGTCGACACCTGGCCTTCCCGAGCAAAGGAGGAGCGATGGCTGCTGATTGGACAACCAACCATATCTTTTGCCCAGGCTTTGCTGACACTTGCATGCCAACGAAATAGGGAGAGCTAGAGAAGTTTCTCTTACCCGAAGGCTAGCTTTCTGGTAAGGAGACAGGTCTACATTTTAGAGCACTTTAGCCTTTCGTGGGTATTAAAAATTAATCACCATCCCATAGATTTGGACCATGCTCAGTTTACAAAACATTTTCATATTTTGAAAGACAGGATCACCACGTGTCTAAGATCACAGAGATAGAGTGCCTGCTTCACCGTGCTCTTGGTGGGTGACCTTGTGCAATTTACTTAATCTCTCTGTGCCTCAGTTTCTCATCTGTAAAATGGGAATCATGATAGACTGTGTATCATAGGGTTGTTTCTGAGTTAATTTACATATATGAATACACGTCATTTACAATGGTGCTTGGCACACCGGAAGCACTCCTTAATTTGCTATTATTAGTTGTTATTATTTATTTATTCATTGCTTTCAGAGGAAGGGAGAGGGAGAGAGATAGAAACATCAGTGATGAGAATCATTGATCGGCTTCCTCCTGCACATCTCTCACTGGAGATGGAGCCTGCAACCCGGGCATGTGCCCTGACCAGGAATCGAACCATGACCTCCTGGTTCATAGGTCAATGCCCACCCATTGAACCGCGCCGACCTGGCTACTTGTTCTTACTTAGGAATCCCATCACTCTTTGAAGATGAGAACAAGGAGAATTGTAAGCTCAGAGTTATTAGGTGGCTGGCCCAGGCGCCACAGCTGGAAGGAGCAGGCCGCGGGGAGGCTGCCTCTGTCAGGGCCTCAGCCCCCTGACTTTGCCCGATTCTTTGTGACCACTGACCCAGGGTGATCGAGCTGCACCTGGTGGCTGCATGTTGCTTCACAGGTGATGCTTTACTTCTCCACTAAAATGTGAATTAGACAATTCCCCGAGAACAAGGACTGCCTTAAGGTCCCTCCTACACCCAGCCCCTAGCAGGGAGGAGAGTAGAGTACGGGAAGACTGGGTTCCGGGTGTGGAAGGGGAGTGGAGACTTGGCCCTCAGGGCCGGGTGGGGTGAAGAGGCGGGGCCCACTCTGAGCCTGACTACACCATTCACGTTAGGAAACTGCTGTTGAATAGTAAGTGCTAACAGCTTGAGAAATGAACACAAATCCATTTGTGTCTGAATGTACTCTCAGAATTCCCTGTGGACTCTGTACACTGTCATTTTCCGTATTTCCCCCATCCAGCTGTGGAGGCAGCGCAGGTTCACATTATTTTACATCCAGTTAAGATTTCTTTTCCTTTTGGTTATGTTTTTAAGAACATTTATTGCCTATAAAGCGGTGTTTTTGTTAAAGACAATAGTGCCCTTTAGGTAGTCACACAGTGTTATTTCACAAATACCCATAAAACTGTTCGAGGGCTGGGCTTGCTGGAGCTCTGATGACAGGTGCTTTCTATTCTCCTTTATCTTTGGAAGCCTGTGAAATAGCTTCACCACCGCCACCCCAAGGGCGGAGCCCACGGGAGAGGAACACGGGGAGACACGGGCAAGTCTGCGCAGACCTTAGCGGGCAGGACTCGCATTTACCCTGCCGCCCCCTCTGAACCCCCGTTTGTGCTGGGATCTAGCATAGGACCTCACAGCCTCAGCCAACACGGCGTCCCTGGGGGCGACAGGTGGAGGGAGGGCGAGGGAGGAGGCTGGTGGGAGGGGGGGCCCATCACTCAGTGGTTCATGGCACCAACTTCTGGCTCTGCCACTTAGGAGCTGTGTCCCTGGCACAAGTCACTTGGCCCCTCCGTGCCTCAGTTTCCTCACTCTAAAATGAGGTTGAGGATTATACAACATCTTCCCCAGGATCTTACGATTTTAAAAAGAATGTCTTGAAATGCACTTGGCAGGTTGTCTGGCTCCAGAGGCCTCAGTAATGTTGCCAAACAAGGGAGGGAGGGAGCGGACTCTGGCCTGAGGCTTCGCCATGTCAGTTCCTTCCAGACAGCCCGCCCGATAGCCAGCTGCCCTTCCGCCAGGCCCTCCCTGCCTGCTCTCTGGTCCAGTCCTTTGGGCTTTGTGAGCAGAGAGGTGTTCCACATACCCTCCCAGGGGGTGACTGGCCCAAACATAGATGTGCTCTGAGAGCAGGCAAGGGAGCAACTCCGGGCCAGGAGGAACTCACACAGGCCCGACCGAGCTCACCGCCAAACCTCAGAGCTCAGAGCCGCTGACTCAGAGTCCTGACTCCTGTGGTTAGCACTGGGCCCAAGCGGACTGTTGCATAATTGGAAACAGGATTGTGGGGGCAAGATTTATAGGCAGTGACAAGAAGACACGCTCCTGAGAACCGCCCCAGAGTTCAGAAGCCCCTTGTCCATGTCCTTGGTCTGCAAGTCGTATCATCCCAAGCACCCCTGAACCAGGCGTTGTTCGAGGTGCTGCCTGGTTCATTCAGCCCATCGTCACAGGAACCCGGGAGGCGCTGCCCGTTGTTATCTCCACGTTGCAGGTGATGAAACAGCTGCAGAGAGGTTACCAGCTGGTTAGGGTGGGACTGAACCCAGGAGGCTGACCCCAGAGCAGGTGTTCTGCCCGTTTTGCTTGCCGGCAGCATCCTCCTTCCTCCGACAGACACTGAGCTTGTGGTCAGAGTCATGTGTGCGCAGCCACTCTCTGTTTCCACTGCCAATAGTAATAATTGCAGTGAGTTACATGAAATGACTGATCCCCGTTGCTATTATCCTCCAGCAGCCCGGCCCTGTGTCAGGCCCTTGACATGCATTATCTCATTTAATCTTCATAACAACACTAGAAGGCAGGTACCGTTAGTATACACACTTGGAAGTTGTTAACCCTAAGGACCCCCTTCTCCACATCATTTGTGTTTTCATTTTTTTAAACATTTTCAGTAGTTAATCATTTCATATTCCCTCATCACAGCCAGGCTCAAAAATGTTAAATAAGTGTGCATTTCACACCCTATCCAGGTCTTTTGACCCCTTGATCACGAAGATGCCTTAGACTCTAAGCTGTATGCTATGCCAACTATATAATACTTTCCCCAAGGATCTGGGTCTTTTGACCCCTTGATCACGAAGATGCCTTAGACTAAGCTGTATGCTATGCCAACTATATAATACTCTTAGCACATCCGTGACTCAGTTTCCCCAAGGATCTTCAGTAAAAAAACTTTGTTGTTTTTGATGTGTCCATTTGTTCTTAGACAGAGTAAACCTGAAATTGCTCTTAAATTAGTTTTGAAACATTCCTGGCTTGATGTTTTCACGCATTCACAAAGGCCTTCCTTCCCCCATTCGTCTGAGTCTTTTTTTAAAAATATATTTGTATTGATCTCAGAGAGGAAGGGAGAGGGAGAGATAGAAACATCAGTGATGAGAGAGAATCATTGATTAACTGCCTCCTGCACGCCCCACACTGGGGATCGAGCTGCAACCCAGGCATGTGCCCTGACTGGGAATCGAACCGTGACCTCCTGGTTCATAGGTCGACGCTCAACCATTGAGCCAGGCAGTTCATCTGATTCTTGCTGCACTGGGAGAATGCTAACTGACAACACGCTAAGTAATGGCCCTGAAATGTAAAATAATTAATGCCCAGATAATAGCACAGGGTGGGCATCTCAGTGTTTTAATGAAGGCTCAGGAAACAGTCTGGAGGGGACGATGAGTGTTACCATAATTAATGCTGCATATTAAAAAGTGACCTCTCCCCCTGGTCAGTACAGGGACCGAGTAACCTTTCCCGTCACCTGCAACCTCACTCCTGGGACTCTGTGGTTCTGTTAATAAAAAGATAATCACCAGTCTGCCCTCATCTACTGTGGAAGCAAGTTTTTACATTTATTTTTGAGGATGAAATTAGAAATCACCATTTTTAGAACATTTATGAGTATATATAGTTTACTCTCAGATATATTTATTCAATACATGCTCTAAATGAGAGTTTTAACTTTCTGTTTTCCTTTTCATTATCCCTGAAAAGAATGGATTATGGGAAAAAGATTAAAGGATAATGCAGTGCGGTGGTTGCTAATGTGCCATCGGCGGTATTGGTCGGGCTCACCGAGTTCGTGTCTTGTAGGAGTGCCTTTCAGATTGCAATTACCTAATCGACTTGAAACCCTGTTTATGTTCTCGCAGGCGTTAAACGTCGTCTTTGAAAAAATCCCGGAAAACGACAGTGCAGATGTCTGTCGGAATATTTCAGTCAATGTTCTTGATTGTGATACTATAGGCCAAGCCAAAGAAAAGATTTTCCAAGCATTCCTCAGCAAAAACGGCTCTCCTTATGGACTTCAGCTGAATGAGATTTGTCTTGGTAAGGCGACGCGGTAGCTGTTTTGTCCCAGGCCCCTAATGAGCACCCCTGTTCCCCCCTCACTCCCTGCCCCCAGCATGGAAGCCTCCATCTGTGACGCTTATTTGGCCTGTCGTTCCCGGGGGGCACTTCTAGGGGCCCCGAGACTGCGATGCTCTCCGACAGCGTGCCGATTCTTCCTGGAATCGTAATCCCTCAGAGATGCTGGTGTTTTAAATATTAGGTTTGTAAATCAGATGCATGAGATTGCTATCCTGAGACCGAATGGGTTCCCCCTGCATCAGGAAGTACCACAAGGTGTGAACCCCGTGCCCTCCCTCCGTCTGTGCCGCGTTTCCTGTTGGCATTTGATTTGTTTGTTTGGTACCGAGTGTCATTAGCAGGGGGCTCAGACTCGGGGTGCTAGCTCCAGCGCGTGGAAAGGTCATCTTCCTCTCTGCTAATCTCGTCCTGCACTAAGTGCCTCCTCCGCCCTCCCCCAGCACCAGCAGCATCTGCTGTGCATTCATTGTCGGGCTCTATTGGTACATTGCAGAGGAGAGCATATGCGTGAGGGGGCTAGCAGGGCTCACTTCACTCAAATGTTCATCAACATTGTAAAGTTGAGCTGCACACAGCCCTTGCGGGAGACTGTCATGGGATTTTATAGCAGATAATGGGACGGGAAAGAAGAGTAAAATCACTGCAGTGACAGACAGCCTAACAAGGTTCATCTCCCCTCCACGTGCAGTTGTAGCGGCGACTAAGCAAGCAATTAAAACCACCCCACCGCACCCTCCCGGTCAGACCTGCTAACAAACAGGCCATTGAGAGAGGCCTGGGGACAGGGTGGGCAAATGTGAATGAAACAGGTAAACATGTAGCCACTGCGTGACCCGGCTATAAAGGAAGCAGGGTCTAGAGCAGTGATGGCGAACCTTTTGAGCTCAGTGTGTCAGCATTTTGAAAAACCCTAACTTAACTCTGGTGCCGTGTCACATATAGAAATTTTTTGATATTTGCAACCATAGTAAAACAAAGACTTATATATGTATTTTTTAATATATTTTATTGATTTTTCACAGAGAGGAAGGGAGAGAGGTAGAGAGTTAGAAACATCGATGGGAGAGAAACATCGATCAGCTGCCTCCTGCACATCTCCCACTGGGGATGTGCCCGCAACCCAGGTACATGCCCTTGACCGGAATCGAACCTGGGACCCCTCAGTCCGAAGGCCGACGCTCTATCCACTGAGCCAAACTGGTTTCGGCAAAGACTTATATTTTTGATATTTATTTTATATATTTAAATGCCATTTAACAAAGAAAAATCAACCAAAAAAATGAGTTCGCGTGTCACCTCTGACACGCGTGTCATAGGTTCTTCATCACTGGTCTAGAGGCACCTCCCCTCTGCCTCTCTCCTGTTGGCTGTCATGGGATGGACTGTTGGGCACTTGAAGACCTATTTAGCTCATTGGTTAGGTGCAGGGTCAAAGGGCAGCTCAGCCAGGAAACAGGACCAGGACCATCAGCTTCCTTGCCCTGAGTCTGCCTCTCACACATGAGTGGCCCTGACTGCAGAGGAGATGACCCACGGAGCCAGGTGGTGGTGGTCCTCCCACCGCTCCCAGCTCTGTGCCTGCCCGTTGCTCCTGGCTCCTGAAGGCAGGGAGCGGGACAAGCCAGCTGGAAGCTTCCCGAGTTGTCTGGTGGGAATGGGACTTGGCGCCAGCAGGCAGGCTCTGCGAGGCTGCTGATCTGCCACTGCTCCGGGGCTGGCCTCAGGACACTGAGCAGAGCCCGAGAGACCAGCCATTAGAGTATATTGGAAGCAGCGAGGCTCAGACCCCAGGCAGACACTCACACACCCAGATGCTCAAGGGCAGGAAGTATAGACACGGGTGGGCCTGCCTGCCTGCCTGCCTGCCTAGGGCAGTGGTCGGCAAACTGGCTCGAGAGCCACATGCGGCTCTTTGGCCCCTTGAGTGTGGCTCTTCCTAAGCCTTAGAGTACCCTAATTAAGTTAATAACAATGTACCTACCTATATAGTTTAAGTTTAAAAAATTTGGCTCTCAAAAGAAATTTCTATCGTTGTACTGTTGATATTTGGCTCTGTTGACTAATGAGTTTGCCGACCACTGGCCTAGGACAACAGGAAGTGGTGGGGCCTGTCCTAATGGGGAAAGAAAGGCCATCTTGGGGGCAGTGCCACTTAGCTGCCACCGATGGTGGGCCTGTATGGTCCGTGTTGCCAGAGGGTCCTGTTTTTTAAGAGAGAAAGCAGATTCCAAATTTTTATGTGCAACATCCCGGTCATTAAATGTTGGTGCTGAATTGACATTAAAATAATAAGGAAAACATGGTGCAGTTTCACAAAAAGAGAAAACACACATCCGTGGGCCACATTCTGACCCTAGGGCACAAGTGGGCAGCTCCGTGATGGCGTTTGAGCCCTGAGTTCTGGGACATTAGCCCGGCAGCACCTGCACCCGGGGGCCCACAGAAGGCGACGCCTGCTGTGAGCACAGACGCGTGGGTGAGCGTGCAGAACGGCTTTGGGAGTTTCCTGAGGAGCTAGTCCCTCTCAGGTGTCACTCTCTTCATTTGGCTTCACTTCCAGGCAGAGCCCCAGAGGAACAGCCTCAGGGAAAAGTGGTCTTACAAGTCAAGCCTCAACATAAAACCGAAACTCAGGCTACCAGTCTGGCTGATACATCTGTAAATGTTCAAAGAAATATTTCCCACTTTATTAAGTTTGTAAATAATATTTGCAAAAGTGACAGGGCAGCACTTAAAATTTCTCAGTCATCTTTAAAGCGCACAAAACTCTCTTTTTGGCTTTTCTCCAGAGCTTCAGGTGGGCATGCGGCAGAAAGAACTCCTGGACATCGACGGCTCCTCCGTGATCCTGGAAGACGGAATCACCAAGCTAAACACCATCGGCCACTACGAGGTAAGGACAAGGCTCGGTCCCCTCGTCCCCTCCCTCATCGCCAAGCCCGACTGGATGAGGTCATCTCTGGTACCTTGTAAATTCTTTTTAAAAGTCACGGGACTCCCAGCCACTTTCTGGAATAGTTTGGGGCAGTTTTCCTCAGTTGCTCATCTGGCAGAGCCCGTGGGTTACTGCTCTCGTGGTCTACGGCTTCCTCCGGGTTCCCCTCTCCAAAGCTTTGACTTTCAGTGAGCCGATCGCTCTCCACCCTGCAGTTTAGGTGAGAAACGTCACCTTTATGAGATTCTCTGGCCTCTCAGCATGTTCCTCAGCAAAGCCCTAGAGGAGTCATTTAGCTTGACAAAGCCTCCCGCTCTCCAGGGTCCGTACAGACCGCGGGACCTTTGGTGTGGGGTCCTGTGTTCTGAAGAAGCTCTACATGTCCTGTTTGTGACAGTCAGCGATACCTCCTTTGGCCCCTGACCCACATGCTGAGTGAGTGTCCATGTGGGTGAGGGGCACAGAACAAGAGAGAGGAGGCAGGGAAGGTTCCTGAACACATTGGGATATTGGGAGTCATTCAGCAACATTATCCAAATCTTCGTTGAATACCTACTATGTGCTAAGAGCCTGGGATGCTTACACGAGGAACAGAGCCCAGGTCCCTGACCTCACAGGTCCTGCAGCCCTGGGGAGGGGTGGAGAAGGGGAGAGGACACAAGTAATGAGGCAACACCTTATGTTGGAGTAGTGCTGTGGCTTGGAGCTGGGAAGGAAGCTATGACTAAGCTGAGACCTGAACTTAACCAGCCCGGGGTGGGGTGCCAGCACATCTAGCAGGGATGGGAGAACATGCATGTTCTTCCACAAAACTACTTTTAGACTGGCTGAAACTTGAGAGGGGTCGGGAAGGTAATAATAGCCAACCTTTATGGAGCCCTTCCTCTGGGCCACAGGCTCACCTTAGCATTTCTCCTTATTTCGCTCATTCTATCTTATAGCAGTTCCATGAGTTGGTATTGTTATTACCCACTGTACAGATGGCTACAGTGAGGCTCAAAGACTTAGCAGTGGTTACAGTAGCAGAGTCAAGACTTTGACCCCGGCAGTTGGGCTCTCCGGTTTGAGGCTTAACCAGTTCACACAGCGGCCTCTCCAGGAGGTGAGGAGAGGTGGGCAGAGGTGAGAAGGGAGGTGCACGTCACACAGGCCCAGCCAGCTTCTTCAGGGGCTGAATGTTACCCCAAGAGTAGTGGGGAGCCCCTGGAGAAGCTTAAGCAGGGAGAGTTGTGTTTCAGAAAACAACTGGCTGTGCGTGGAGCATGGGGAGAAGCTTAAGCAGGGAGAGTTGTGTTTCAGAAAACTGGCTGTGTGTGGAGCGTGAATGTAAGGGATGCAAACCTGGATTCCAGGTGAGGGATGATGCTGACCGGAAATGACAGTGGCGCTGGGGATGGACACAGTGGGTGGATTCAGAGACGGCAGGAGGTGGACACAAGCCATGCGGGTGGGAGAGAGACACAAGGAACAGATGGTCAGAAAGGCCCTCGGGGATGGCAGGGCAGAGGCATGGATGTGGGGGCTCTTTCAGAGATGAAGAAGCCAGAGGAGCAGCTCCCAGGTCACCTGGAGGGTCGGGGGTGCCTCCTTCCTTCATGGCTGACTGTCCTAAGGAGACTTGTCTGCCCAGGAGGCCCTCCGCCCTGCCTGCTCCCTCCGCAGGAGGTGCCGAGAGTGTTTGTTCCTCAAGCTCGGCTTCTGGACGACAGCCAAGAGCAAGACCACCTCGTCTGTGGGCCTTGCTGAGTGGGTCTCACGCCCAGTTTGGAGCAGCTGCTGTGGGCGGCGGCAGGTGCTGCCCCTGAGCCTTTGTGGAGAGAGAGAGAGCTGTGGATTAGCCGCTGGCTCCTGTGCTGCCCTCCGGCAGCTTGGACCTTCCAACCTCAGAATCCACTTGTTCAGAGCTGGTCATGGCCTTGGGGATTATAGAAACCCCAGAGAACTTTCTGGAAGTACATGTCCCGTTGGTAGGCCATGCTGGAGCAGCACTGCCCCAGAGGGAGTGCAGGAGAGAAGGATGCTGGCGCGGGTGGAAGGGCTTGGGGAAGAGCTCATTTGGGCTTCTATGATGTTCAGGTTGCAGACCCCCAGCCAGCTCCTCCTCTGCTCCTGTCTGGGTGGCTAGCCTGTCTCAGTGAGTTTGGGAGGAGCAGAACCCTCTCTCGCTGCTTTTGACTAATGTGCTTGCCTCGCTCAGTGGTGCGAGGAGAGGGGCACCCTGGCCAGGCTTCTTGGTGTCCCCTGGCAACCTCGAGGCAGGGGGTAGGACCCAAGGGAAGGGGGTGTGGCCACTCACCACCATTGAGGGAGGACTCGCCACTGGGCCGGGAAAAGGAGGATCCACCACAGCTGTCTGCAAGGCACCAAGGCACAGGGAAGGCTGTTGGGAGAGAGAGAACATCAGTCTTTGCTGGAGACATCGGCCGTGCTAGACACCTATCTGCTTAGGGATGATAATGAAATTAATCTGGCCTGTAGTCACTTCCCGTCCAAATGATTTATTGGCCTCATACCCCAGCGTCACCACATGGTGGTAATAAATGACACGATGAGGACACAGGGCTTAAAGGATTCTCCTTGTTTAAAACGCTAAGCCATAAGGCAAGAAACACCACGCTTGAAGGAGCGGAGGCCATCGGCCCGGGAGCTCTATGCATGGTCCATCTCAAATGCCCTGTTTCCCAAAGACCGCTCAGAAAACAGTACCCACCGCCACCCTCGGCCACCAGAGCCTGTCCTTGGTTTAGCAGCACCCCACAGGCCCAGAATTTGGAGTAATTTGCCAGGGCTGGCTGACGCCCTCTCGTTAAAGAAAAATTTCTCCTGAGCGAGCACTCGAATTTCCCTCCAAAGCGACAAGATGCTAATTATCACTCTTATTCATTTACTTAAGTGGCCTAGTTTGAGTCTCACTGTAAGTGCTTGAAAGCAAAAAACTGTATTTTCTTGAAAAATGGTGTCTAACCCAGAGTTTTAGAGATTCAGAGTCACCTCCCTCCCATTAGCCCAAATTAGGCCTTAAAGTCTGTCGGTGAGGCCGGGGCCTCCTCCTGCCTGAGCACAGTCCCAGGCGGGGCCTGCGCTGCTGCGCCGCCTGGCTCTGTCCCGGGGCAGACAGGGTGCAGCTGGTCTCCTCTGAAGGAGCTGCTGTCTGTATGTTTGAGAACAGGTTTCTACAGGGCACCTGAGGGCACAGCCAAAATAGAGCCTCTCCTGGGCCGGGTGCCGGCAGCCTCCAGCGCCCTGTCACCTAGGGGGTGGCAGCCCGGCCGCTGTGGACATCGGCACGATTGCTTTCCACAGTGATAACAGCGGCAGCTGTGCCCCTATCGTTCACGTGCAGGAGCCCGATCCATGTTCACAACCACCGTCTGATGCAGGCGCTTTTATTACCCTCGGTTTCCATCAGATGAACACAGCGGAGGGCGATGCTGCTCCTGTCTCCTTCTGTCCTGTGCAGACGGTGTGGGAAAGCCGACATCCTTACAAACACATTGAGCCGGAGGCATCCTTCTCCCTGTAATTAAGTCCTCCGCGTGCTTCTGTTCCGGCCGTGGCGGTGTGTGGGGTGCGTGTTTCCTACGGAGGGACCACACCGTGTTTGGGAGCATGTGGAAGTGAGGGGGCTGGAGACGGCTCTCCGGGACCGGGCCTTCTTCCCTTCCCCTGCACTCCTCCCCCGCCCCGGGGTCCTTTTGCTGGCCCAGTCATCGCGCCCACACCCTGCTGTGGAGTGGCATCAAGTGTGGAGGACAGAGTCATGTCCGGCAGGAAACCTTGTCTGCAGCTCGCACCCCTCATTCTGAGCTGTGAGGTTTGGAGGGGCAGAAAAGATGTTTAACCACCATGTCGTTGAAGAGTGTTCCTCACGACAGGTGAAGTGGTCACCGCTAATGCCGAAGCTGTCACCCAAATGACATTTAAAGCTCATAGGACTGTCCCACGGGTCTGCTGAGTCCTTGCGGTGAGGTGTGTCCTCTGGGCACTGAAGTGAAGGGTTGGACTATCTCTAAAGGCTTCTTACAGCATGCATGACTTTCGATGTTTATTTAAGGAATGTGTGCAGCGCTGCTTGTACACTGAGCACTGTTCTAGGCAGATACTCTCCTCATTCCCATGCTGAGGCACAGAGAGGCTCAGACACCTGGCCGCAGTCACACAGCTCTTCTCGCTGATGCCCCAAGGCTGGAAGCACTCTTCTTGGGCCAGAGGGGTCCCCTTGCTCAGAACCAGGCTGTCAGCCAAGCTCCGGACGCTGAGGCCACCTGGCTGGAGAGCCGGGCCGTTCAGGAGAGGTCCTGGTAATTACCTTTCCTGATGTCAGTTCGTAAGGTAACCTCTCCAAACCTTCGATGAATCTCACGTCTGTGGGTTTATCGGAATGCTTCCTTATTTCTAATCCCACTTTAACATTGTTCCTTGAAGACACCATAGTTGCCTTCATCAGAAGGGAGGCCTCCTTCAGGCCCCCAGAGCTAACCAGGCTGGCCCCCGGGGCACGGAGCGCTTAGGGCCCCAGTCTGAGCACTGCCGGAGGCCACGCTGCCTCCCGGGGCCCAGCTCGGGGCCCAGCTCGTGTTCTCTCCAGTGGTCGTCAGGGGGGTGGCCCCTGGCCCGGGCTAATCCCAGGCACACAGAGGGAGCGTGTCCACGTGTCGAGAACCCTTTGGAGGCTGTCCAGGCTGCCAGACACTGTGTGTGTGGTTTGATGAGTCTGTTGAGAATGTTCTGATGAGCCCGCCACCCGCCACGAAGGACTGAGCAAGGTCACCCCTCTGGCCCTGAGAGAAAAAGATTCCTTTTTCATCTGCCTCAAGCCTTGGGGTGTCAGTGAGAAGAGTTAAGAAAGAAACGGGCGAGTGGTATTGACGCGTGGCTGCTGGGACGCTAGTTGAATAGAATTATTTTCATATGACACGGTTTTAGGACGGAGAGCTACCAGCAAGGGCTTCCACGTG